TAAATATTTTTTAATTTATAATAGCATGGAATATTAATAATAGACCATTCTCATTTTATTTTATATTAAATTTTATATCTGAATATTTATTAAATTTTTTTGTTTTTTTTTTTTATAAAAATTTATAATAAAAAATGAAAATTCTAGAATGGGTTCAGAGAAACGAAATAATTTTTTCACAATTCGTATTGATCATTGTGGTTTGCACAAATTACGAGAAATTTTAGAGTTTTTCTTCTTTTTTTTTCTGTTTTCTTTCAATCGTCAATTTTTTTTAAAAGTTAAACTTTGTTAAACTAAAGTTAAATTATTTGGAGGCTTAAGCGCACTAAGACTAAGCCTAAGCGAATCTTAAGATTTGGTCAGATTTGGTTAATCTGTTAATTCTATAAAATATAAATTCAATTAGTGGATCAAATTGGATAATTCCACATAATATTTTCCATATGGTAATAGAAAAGCTCGCTTACTAGGATATCGGAAAGAATTTTTGGCAAAATTAGGCAGAATTTGAAGCGATGAATTTTTTTTTTCAAATATAGCAATGCTACAAATTCTTTAATTCGATATAGCTTTTGATATTTGCCCAAAAACCATTACATTAAAAACTCTTTCTTTAAAACCTTTTCATCCTTTTCATCCACCTTCCTAATTCTCGCGATATTCCTCCACTATTTCATGTATTATAAGCAATCTTTTATAACTTTATATTTTGCTGCATGGGCTTTCTCGTTTGTTATAAATAAATATTTAGAAAACCGAAGATAAGGATATTTAGGAATTACAATTAGGCCTAAATGTGATAAAATAATAAAATGATGAAATTTAAATTGATGAGACCGATAAGCTGTGGCATAAGCGCTTGATAGTTTTGCGGATATTAAAAAAGCAAATTTCGAGATTTGGGGCAATTTTTTAGGAGGCATAACTGATCTTAGGAATAACAATGGATTTCGTTATGGTGCCCTAAGGCATTAAGAACGGTATAATAGATATTGAAGCATTAAGAAAAGCGTTTTTTATCACAACTTTTTTTTAGGTTATAATAGTGATTAATTTTAGCATAAACATTCGAAATATTAAGCATGGAAGATTCCTTTTAAAAAAAGCGGGGCAGAAACGAGGTTTGATCGGATTTTAAAATGGACTAAAAGAATTTTGGTTGTATAGGAAATTATAACAAATTCTAAGGAACTTATTAGTCAAAGCATTATAAAAATCTATAAATAATTAAATAATTAACGACCTATAAGTAAATTCACTATAATATTTTTTGGCTTCTTTTATAATTTTATAATTCATTTAAAGTTTTAATATAATAAAAATAAATTTTGCAATAAATTTAAACTATTTCAGATGATGGCGGTCTTAATTTTTAAGTTGGAATTTATAATTTAAAATTTAAAATTTAGCTTAAATCGTTCAGTAAATTTAAAAATTTGTGATTCTTATCGAACGGTTGAATTTGAAGAATAGTCGAAATTTTTTTAGTATAAAAGTTTCATTAAGGTCCAAATCTTTCATGATCTCTCAAATGATAATAGAGAAAAAAATTACTCTCTTATTTATCAGTTTTTGTTTGACAGCATCCGTCAATTCCTCGCATATAAACTTACTGACGCATGTTAGTAAAATATCATAATAGAATTGATAATCTTCTTGGATGAGCCATCAGCACTCAGCGCACATTACTTGATCTTCTAGAGCCCTATACAATTTATTGAATTGAAAGTATAACCACTAAATAAATTATCGACATTTCAAATGGTCGAAGATTTAGCCAGTATAGTGCTTTGCTTTGTTCTCAATATTCGTTTGGGAGTATCATGTACAGCCATAAGACAATTCAACGAAAGTGAGGCAAAAATCTCTTCAGAGGTTTCCAGTAGTTTAATTTCACGATTGTTGTTACGGTAGTTCCTTCATTTAGATCTAATAGAATGTGTAGTCGTATGACATGCATGGCACTTTTTTCTCATGCGTCGAATGACGATGAATTGCAAATGGTTGCAAATGGCCACGCTTAACGGTTTTTGTTCAACCTCTAGACTAAATTCGAAGATTTTTGGCTTTAAATAAAAACAACTATTTCTTGCGCTGTTCGGCAAAACGTGATTGTAATCATATAACTCGAAGTTCCATAATGACAGGTGATTTTCCATAATAACAGGTAAAAGCCCTATTCGGCATCCTTGTGAGATTGCTTTACTGATTTTATCCCTCCCTGTTTATGCTTATTTTACGAAGGAGAAAGAATTTGATTATCGTTAACTCAAACTGCAGTATCAACTAGCATTCTAACAATGAATTTCGTTTCATTTACCGCCATTCTTACAAGCCTTACAAGAGATTTACAAGATTCTTGGAGATAACCTTTCAGTCAGAGCCAATATTTTCGGCCATTCCAGAGGCTTCTTTGTAGATTATTGCGATGTTTTTATAATTCGATTGGAAATATACTTGTTATTTTTGAATTTCTTCAGTTTTAGATAGTTGGAAAATGCATTGTTTACTTCATTTGGCTTCGACCCAAATTATATTAAGGCTAATGATAGTGAGATTTTATCAGTAAAGATTGTCAATTTCAGCGGTTCTGTAAATACTTTACTTCACCCATCAAATACTTTCTCAATCGCAATTAGCCATTCGTGAGAATTCCACATAATTAAATAATACCTTAAATAACCTTTTAATAATTTTTCTTTAATTAAATTTCTTTAGGAGATTAAATATGCGGTGAAATAAAAATCCATTTCAATATTTTCATATATTTCAGATCATTTCATTTCAAATGGTGCAATCTTTTTTGAAGCATTATTTATCGGTGTTTATTTCTTATCATATCACAGTGATAGCATTAACAAATACAATTCGTCATCAAAGAATTTTATTACGGATAGAGCATATTTGGCTATTTTAAATTATATAATAATACGAAAATATTTTTTCAAAAATTAGTATTTTTGCACTTTTTTGATGAAATTTGATTAATATTAAAATGATTAAGTTTTCGAGTATTTTTCATATTTTTTAGACCGATTTCTTGATGGTAAGAATTTCAGGAGATATTGATAACTTTTTCTTCTAATCATAATTTAAATTATGCTATTTTTACGAATTTTTCCTATTTAAATAGGTTGAATGCATTGCTTGCAAAGAACTTAGTGATTATAACGATAAGAAGGGAATAACCGGAAGTATGCGAATTATTATGTAATATATTATTTTTTATTAATTGTCTTGACCATTCAGATTTATTGATATACAATGATATATAATAGGATTGAATGTAACTAATAAGTATTGCAAAAGTAGCTATAAGAACTTTCATGTCAAATATTTTTTTAAAACATATAATATAAAATATAAAAGTTAACAATTAAAAATAAAAATGAAAATAAAAATAAATAAGAAGTAAATCACATTTAAAAATGTTAACCAGTGATAAATTATCTGCAAATAATTGGTTTTATCAATGAAGTCATTCATAAAAAAACAAATTAATAAATAACAATAAGTTAAAAAATTATAAGTTTTAATAAATTAATGATAATTATTTAATAATATAAAACAGATCTGTCACATTCTTAAAAATTTTTAGAGTTGAATTTGCACTTTATTGCAAGTATTTCCATATTTGCATAAAACCAATAAAACCAATCACTTTATTTATCAGCAAACAAAATAAAAAACTTAGATGAACTCTTTTGCTTGTGAAAGAAGTACAATCTGTACAATAGTTACAGTAGATTTTAGTCAATTATCTACTAAATAGCGCTGCAATTATTCATATTAAAAATAGCATCTTCTTTGTCAACTTAATGATGCAAGAATCTCTTAATAATTAGCAAAGCCAGTCAAACCAGAAATGATATTAGATGATAACGATAATGATGGAAGGAATGATAATGATGCCACTTATCAAGAAATGAAATTTGCTAATAATAAATCATAGAAAATTTTAAAAAAAATGAAAGAATTCCTATGAATCTAGTCCACTATATAATAGGCTTTATTAAGCATTTATAGCCAATAAATTAGAGGATTTTGTCTCGATTTGCGAATTTTATGAACTCATCTACGGGCGATGAATATCTGAAGACAAATATTATAAAAAATCAGATAATAATTAATTGTTGAGTAAATCAAGTATAAACAACTATAAATAAATTATAAATTTTTTAAAAATGAATTTTTAAAAAATAGTTTTATAAAAGAAAAAAACATTCGGTTAACAATATCAAATAAATATTTTTTCATAAAAATTCATTTTTGATTAATTCGACTGACTGAATTATCGATTTTCTATCGAAATTGATCAAAATTTTCATAAAATTTTGTTCTTTCATATACATCAGCACTAAAAACAAATAAAAAAAATAATTGGTCATATAATAATTTTTATTAAATTATTAATAATTATTATAATAATAATATAATAATAAAATCATTAATAATATAATAATAAAATAAAAAAATTATAATAATAATTATTATTATAAAAACAATTATTATCAATTATTATATAAATCATTATTGCCACAACTTAATAAATTTATCATTTTTTTAAAATATTCGAATGAATTTTTTTCTTTTTTTTGAACAAAAAAAATAGAATAGTGAGATTTAATTTAATTTTAAAAAATAATTTAATTTATTAATAAAATAATTTATTAATTCATTTTTTAATTAATTAATTAATTTTTATGAACTATTAAATATGAAAAATATAATGAATATTCTAATTAAAAAAAGAATCCCTCATATATTTTTAATGAAACTCCTCGCAGAAATTTCCCTTCATTATGGAATCTCTAATAGATTCCTTCATGAAATCTTTTATAGAATCGAGAAATAATAATAATGCACATATAAAATTTAATTATAGCTTATAGCATATATTTGTTTATTTATTTATTTATTTATTTTTTCTTTCAGACCTCACTGCGAATTTATTATATAAATTTATTTGCAAAATATTTCGCTGAAATAAAATTCTTTTAATTGCAAATATTTACCGCAATATTCTTATCGATGAATTTTGATGATGAATGATGATTATAAGCAATTTTCGAATAAACAGGTCGATATAATATTAAATCATCAGCGTTTCCTTCATCTATTAATAAAATAATTATATAAAATAATTAAAAAATTTTATCACATTATATTATAGAAATAACGATAAAATAAGATTCAAAAAAAAATTTTTTTTATCATAATGATAATAATTATCATAATAATTTTCAATAATTTGATAAATATTTGAAAATTATAGCAACTAACTATATTAATGTAATTATATGAAAAATTCGCCTCATTTAGCTAATCTCTTATCAACTCATTGGGAAAAATTTAAAATTTGCATTTTACCAAGAGTTCGGCCATCATAAACTTGTCCTAGTCGAAATTCAGGCGAAACATATCGTCCACCTTCAACATGGCTACTACAATAATCTGAAATAAGGCAAGAAAGAAACTAGAAAAAGGTTCTCTAAAATGCTTAATATATATTATGCAAACCTACCGTAATCTATAAAATGCCTTGAAGATTTTACATCGTTATAAGGTAAAGTTCCAATGGTTAAGGGAAATTCCATTTGTAACGATTCATTTCCTTTTTCATCTTCCAAACAAACCTTGAAAATTTATAAAATAACAAGAATGAACTTATAATATTTTTTCAATAATCAATCATTATTTATGCACCAAATGCTTCTATGCGATGGATATTCTATTGAAATGAACCAATAGTTCTTACCTTGTATATGTAAAATATCTGAATTAGCCTACAAACTCCAACAAGAGTTGAAGGCACTGTTGGAATATAAAGTGGTTGCTCGAGCGCAGAATCATATTTTCCTTGAGAATGAGGTAATACTGACGCTGACCTATCATTTAGAAATAAATTTTCGAGGGATTTTCAAATATTTTTACAATATTTTTAATAATAGATAACCGATTCTCTCAAAATGAATTTAATAATAATTAATAATGAATTTAATTTACAACTTACTTTAAGGGTGAGTGATAAAATTAATCAAAATGAAACTATTAAGAATAATGAATTCGAAAGTAGTGATAAATAACCGTTGAATCACCATTTACCTGTATTCAAATACTGTACAATCAATTGATTTGTTCTCACCAATGGCACCACGATCGATGAAATATTCAACATGCTTAATGATATCTGTTGATTTATTAACAACGAAAAATAACGAAAAATATATCAAATCTACTTATATTATATATTAAAACAATGAAGAATGATGGTTTCATAAATTTTAACAAACTCAAATAAAATAAATATAAAAATAATAAAAATAAATGAATAGAATATTCAAATGTTCTATTGTATAATATTGTATTGTACAATATTTTATTCAATCATTATTTTTTTGCATGATTTTTGCATGTTTTGGATTTTATTGGTTTGAAAAATTTTGGATTTTAGAGAAATTTATGTGAAAAAAATTTCTCATGCGTCGACTAAATTTGTATAAACACTTATATAAACAAATGAAACTAAATTACTTGAATTAATTTCATATTAATGCATACGGTAGAATTTTGATAATTTTCAATTAAAGCTTGAGCTCGTATATTTTCACCACACATATAGGCTGTACGCTCAAGTTTGAACCTAAAAATTGAAGTATTTTTTTAAAGATCATTTCTGGTTATGCCCACTTCCCTGGCTAGTCACCACACCAAGCAAATTTTAATAGAGAATTTCTTAGTGATAACTGAAGTATGGGTTGCTTGTCTGCACCACTTGAATTTTTTAAAAGGATGAAACGAGTGCAGTAATCCACTGAGCCATATCTCAGATCACTGAGCCATATTACATTAATTGAAGTTAATAGAAATTGAGTTGAAAAAGTTGAAAAACATTCAGATATCACAAAATAAATTCTAATTTTTCTATTTAATTATGGTTTTTCAAATTTAATTCTGTTTTTATTTTTTATCTGAATAGAACAAAAAAATAGAAAAATAGAACAAAAAAGAAATTTGCAAAGAAAATTAATTGGTAAAAAAATGAAAATATATGCAATCAATCGTTTCGCTTGTATGTAAGCAATTTGAATAAGCTACCATAAGCATTGAAGCGATTTGAGTTTAGAAAGTGGATTAAGAAGCAGTTCCAATTAAATTCAGGCGGCGCAAGAACAGGGGCCTTACATCTTCTTTGTAGCCAGTGCAACCAGTAGGAAACAAAACTAAGCCTAAGCCTAAGCCTAAATTATTTGAAAAAAGATAAAGGCCCACGCATAAAATAATTTTATTTGAATTATATAGCGCCATTCTTTTCACAACATTTAAAGCCAATTATGGTATTTGATAAACAAATTTACCTTAGAGCCAGAACTCCTCTTCTGCACCAGCAGCAACATACTGTTTTTCTGTCCTGTGCAACAAGTGGTTTCTGCAAAACTATATTGTTAGGAACAGAAAGGAATTATATAACTCCATTCTTTGTAGGAACAGAGGAGGAAGCCTTCCTAAAGTAATAGATAGATTCCCCGCGGGGTATAGTCATAATCATTATTTTTTTAAAATTTGCTCCTAAATTACAATTCGGAGTTTTGACTTTTTGGAGTTTGAAGTTTGGAGAAAATATAACATGTAAAATATCAATATCGATCGAGTTTTGTTTAAAAATTTTATTTTATATGAAAAAAAATTTGGCAAAAATATTACTTTGCTGAATTACTTAAAGTTAAACTATTTTATTAATTGTTCGAGTAAAGCAAAGCATTTCTGCTTATAATGGGCAATTAAAGATTTTAAAATTTCTAGTCAGAAGGTAATAAACCAACTAAATATTTGCTCTCCATACAATCGATAATTGGTCCAATAATTGTAAAATATTTCATGGCTTGCGGTGAACAAACGAAAGGTGTATCAACAATAACCTATAAAAAATCAAATAAATTCTTATTTCTTAAATTTTAATGAAAACTTATAACTTTAATGACTCAAAATTGCATTTTATACTTTTATATAATATCGAATCGTCCCAAGTTTTGTTTCTAATGAACATGGTAAGGAACATTGTGGAAGCTGAAATACGAATGGAAACTTGTATAAGCCAGATGCGAGGACTGAAGTAGTACTTGATCCGTCATAATATTCTAAAAATGGTGACTAAAAGTTTAAAAAAACTGATAAAATTTGTATGGAACTATTTATAGCATTCTGATAATTCGCTGGTAAAAATTTTTCGCTGTACTAATGGCGAGTGGAACAAACTTAACTAGTATTTTTTTTATTTCCATTCCCCACAGTATTATTTCCTCACTTTTTGTTTTCTCAAAACAGATAAATTATCAAAAATTTTTCACCTTTGCCCCAAACGAGGATTTTTTCATCTAATATGTAATGATCATCTTTTAAAGTTCTTCTTTCACCAGATTTCGTTATTTTTAACTCAGCGTGTGCTTTACCTCGTAAGAGAATAATTATGCCTATAAAAAAAAAAATAATTTTAATAATTGAAAAAAAATTTCCAAGAATTTTAAAATCTTATAGAAACGATTGCAAATAAGCAAAATATATTTGAGGCAAATTTCTAAATTAACGCTTAAATATTTTTTTATATTTATATTTTTTAAAGTATTTATATTTATTTTTAATATATTTTTTCATATAATAATTTTTTTTTTTGGGAGCGCTTTACTAATTTACAAAAAAAGAATTGGTTTAAAAGCCGTTAGCAATTTTTTAATATTAAAGAACATATATTATTATTATGATTAAAAATACGCAAAACGCGCATTAATATAAAAAATATGATTATTATTACTGAAAATACGTATTAATATAAGTATATTAATAAATGAAAAAATATAAATTGTTTAAACGATGAAATAAGGAAACCTGTCACTTTAATATCATTGCCATTCTCGATAATAGCAGTACCATTAATTAATTCACCACTACAATAAATATCTTTTTCGAGATGAATATCGAAATTTTTTATACAATCCATTTATTATAAGTAAAAATGCTGGAAATTCTTTTTCAATGAATAAAAATTATTTTTTTTTTTATTCGTGACAATTTTAAAATTTTATTTAAATGCTTTCGTAATTATTAAAAGAATGTTCAGAATAAATTAAAACTTAATAATATATCCACTAATATTGCAAATAAAAATGGTCCAAGATTTCGCTCAATTTTTTCCTTATCATTTCTTATCACGGATTTAACTCACATGAAATACATCTCGCAGTGAAACATTTTAGCGCATCAGTGCATTATTTTCATTTGATACAATTTAAAACATTTGATAAAGTCTTGGAATGGATAAAGCAATATAATAATATTTAATCAAAAATATTTGAAATTAATTCTTTTGAACCGTTATATTGCCGAAAAATATTTTTAAAAAATTCTATTCTTGTTAAATACGTCCTTGAATTTTCTGCGACCTCCTTATTTTCTTTTAACAGGATCAAATCTTTTATTGATAACATCCTCTTAAAAAGTCTCTTTATAAAGCTTTAGGCCCTTCATGCTCTTTTAGCAACACAATGCTTACTCAATTCTTTTAAAGACCAATTATGATTAACATTGCAAAACCAATAGTAGTAGAAAATTCCAGCTATTCCTATGATAAAAAAAGTGATAAAAAAATTTGTAATGATAAAAATTAGTGGAGTTCAATAGAATAGCCGAAAGGAAATAAGCAACGAGTTTAATGAAATTATCTTTTGGATTTAAAAATAGTTCATCGTAAGATTTGCCATTTTTCTACCATAATTAATAAATTTTGTCAAAAATTCACGATATTATTTACATAAATTCGTAGCGATTATAATTTACTTTTGGAAGCCAAATTTTTGATAATATTACAATCGTTTCGAACTTTTCTTTTGCACAAAATTATTCTTAATTTTTATAATAAATTTCTGAAAATTTAATCGTTTTAACTACTTAAAAATAAAATTTCAAAATTTCAAAAGGAAATTAATATTGTAAGAAATGAAAATAATTTGATGAAAGCGCAATTTGCATTAATTAAGAAATGCAATATGTTCGATATTATATTATTGGAGATGTAAACATATAAAGGAATGATCGTTTAATTGGTTTTATAAGTAAATAATTTATAAATAATTTTGGTGCAATAATGGTGAATCAAAGAAGTTTCAAGTTTTTAACGCATATTGTTTGCTAATTTATTGAATTATTGAATTTTTTGCTTTTAAAAATTGTTTTAATAAATAAAAAAAAAATGCAATTCAATGTTTTAAAAATCGTTGCTAAATATAAATATTCAAATTTGAAAAAAAAAAATTATTTTTCATTTATAATTTTTAAATTTAAGAAAATTACTAAAAAAATATGAATGATATTTTTGTCTTTTTATGAATTTTGAAAAAGTATTTTTTTAAGCAAAAGTAAATATTAATAGTAAAATATTATTTAGCGACTATTAATGATGTGAAAAATTTTTCGCCAATTCGATTTATTTTAGTGATATACTTATTAGCTTATTAGTATCGTCTTAATTTTTTCTTAATAATAGCTTTATTCTTATCAACTGCAAGAACCATAAACTTGGTGCCTCAAAGCAATAATCTAAGCAATAACCACTCCATTACTTTACCTACTCATTTATGATTGATATGATTTATGATTTATTTTCAATTATCATAAATATAAAGAGTTAATTATTTCTTATTATTTGCACATTATTTTCCAGCTCAAAAAATATTTTTATCAAATGATTATTCGTCACCTTCTCGAACTATGAAAACAACTGAAATTCAAAATAAAAATATACATGACCAATATTAAAATTTAAAAAATCATTTAATCATTTAACAAACAATTCTAATTCTTCAATTTTTACTTATAGTCAAAAAATCGCTGAGAAAAAATTTTCAAAACCCCTGAAAATTAAATTAAAATCATAAATTAGTTTTCCATAAATGATAACAAATATCGAATTGAATCGCACCGTTATGATTTTTCAAATAGTTGACAACTTTAATTTTAACTTTAACTTCAATTCTTCTCGCAGTCGATTCTAACATAGAGAAGCCACCTATAGATTTCAATTATAACAATAAATTTGCTTCTTTCAGAATTGTGAAAATTGAAATTATATATTTCTAAAAAATATTATTGCGTACATGAAATTGAATGATTTTGATAAAGCTGAAGAAAAAGAAAAAAAACATCTTTTGATAGTGATTATGATCCGTTTTATGATGGTCAAATAAATTGCTGCATATTTATTTTTTTATTTTTGCGTCGACAATTTTCTACTATATTGACGGAATATTGACTATGGTAAATCAGATACGCTATATGTCGGCTGTATAAAAATAAAAAACTGGTTGAAAGATGAATTGACTTGAAGAATTATCTTGAAGAAAGCCTCAGATTACGAAATTAAGACCATTCATTATTCGATCGGAATATCGCTAACCTATTTGAGAATATATAATTGATTCGATGGAATATATAATCAACGAAAATTTTCGATAGAAAGCATCTATCGATTATCACTTGTATCATTTATGATAATGGATTTAAGGAATGAACTGTTCGACAATCGACTTTGTCTCGTGATAAAAATAAATTTATTATTAAAAAATAAAATTCGACACTTAACCTGAGAGCCTATCTGAGCCTAACTAATAAATCCAATAGACTTTCTTGCGAAAGAATCTCAATTCTAACCAATCAGCCAAAGAAAAAAATATTTTTTTTAAATAGTCCTCATTATTACTGGTTAAACTCGCTCCACTGGCTTTGGTCGCATTGGGCAATATGTCAGGGAGGGCGATAGAAACATAGATGATTCGCCAGCATCATCCGATTACAAAATTATTATGAGTTTTGCATGCATAATGGCATATTAATTTGTAACTAAATGTACATTTTGATTTTGTTATTTTTTCACTACAATCTTAGCATAAAATCACAGTATGATCATATAAATTTCACCAGAGATTTCCCAATATAAAAGAGCCACCATTATTATTTGGATTTTTATAAGTTTCCTCCGACTTTGAACAAGACCACAACACTCCAAAAAAAAGAACTCACGTGGTGTTCTACTCGTTCTTCCATTCGCTATGCGTGGTTATTTCTCATTATTTCTCATAGTTTAAAGTTATAAAGTTATATTTATGTAATATTTTGATGAATATTTTAAGCAAATTTTGCAATTTTTTAAAATGCATTTAATCGTTATTATATTAAAACAAAACAAAAAATATAAAAATAAAATCAAAGTATGGTTGTTTGTTAAAAAATGTACTGTCGTAACAAATCACTGATGCATTAACCAAGAAGACAAAATCTGCGAATGGAAGCCGATGATAACTGATTTTCACCCAAAAGAACACTTTAAAACGTGAAAAAAAAATCCAACAATATTTCGATCTAAAAAATCGAAAGAATGAATAACAAAATTTTTTTTCCAAATCATTTGAGGAAAATAATATTTTTATATGGCGTTATGCAACATTTCTAGCCGAATTTATTATTCTATAGACATAAAATTAAGTCAAATTTTTAAAATATTGAAAAATTATAATTTAAAATAATATTTACAATCATCAATAATATTCGCCTAAAAAATGAATAATAATAAAAATGAACGAAAAATTTCTCAATAAAAATAAAAGAAGAAAATATAAAGTAAAAGGAAAGTCAAGTAAAGCAACTCAATTACATGCATTCAATCTCCTATGAGACTTTTCTAATTGAACTTGTTGTTTTTCGAATAAAAATCCATTCGATGATGCTTCCTTCCAATTCATAAATTGCTTAAAAATTCAATATTTTAAAATAAATCATATGTCGCATAATTTTTTATTTTTTTTAAAAGTTTTTCAAATATTGATGAGACGTTTTCTGCCAAAATGATTTATTCAAAAATTGCAATTTTTTTTTTTCCCTTCGATTAAATATCGAAGGAATATAAGTAATATAAGAATGAAGGAATAAAATATTTCACTTTTATTTTCTTATTTATTCTTTCTATTTAATGTTTTCAGACGAAATTCATCGTGTTCGATCAATTTTTAAAATTAAAAATCAAAATGAAAGTCATTTATTTTAAAATTTTTTAAATTTTTTTTTGTTTTTGATTTTTTTCCTTCATTTGCCTTTTTTGCTTCAAGGAATTATTATGAACTTTCCAAGATAATATACTGAAGGATTACAAAAAAATCCTCTTAAGGGAAAAAATCCAAGAGGTGAAAACGGCCCTCAGTGATAAGGGGAATAAAGAATTCACGAACGATGAACTATTATATCTAAGGAGACTTATCGAAATCGAAGAGATCTGATAATTTAGATATTGCGAAAATAAATTTGATGAAGCAGATATTTATATTATAATAAATTTGAAGTGTCAATTCATTTAAATGTCAAAAATTCATTATATATTATAATTGGAAAATCGACTAAAGCGAATTGCCAAAAAAGTTATGAAAAGCGCGAGGGGAAACTAATACGTATTTGACGTATAATGAAAAAAAAAATGAAAAAACAAGACTAATTAATTCAAGCGTAAAATTGCATTTATTATAAGGAAATCAGATATTTAATTTTTGAATATCTTGCAATCATTCTAATCCTAAAAGGCCAAACGAAATTACAAAGGAAAACGATAACTAGAAATGCGTTCGTCTGACTGATGAAATGTTTTATGGAACCATAAAGAAATTACCAAATCACCATAAAGACGAAACTACATATAGCTACAATTCGCTCGATCTTGCTGTACGGCTTCAAGATATGACCAGTGAGAATGAGCTTTTATGTCTAAAATGCATTTTACAGGTCAGCCAAGCGGATAAAATTTCACATGACTGCATCTCTCATTGCTTGATGCATTAACTATACCATTACAGAGCGTCATCTTCGTTGGTTAGAGTATTTATTTCCCCACTCACCACAGGAATTGACACATAATTGATTACTTGTTAAATCCTATGACGGATGGCGACAGAAGGTAGATGGGCCAAGCAAGACTTGGATTGATCAATCAGAAAAGATTTTGAATGCTTAGAAAGACCAGCGATATATGGACTTAGAGGTGAAAAAAGCAATGGCTTCTATTATTGTCAGTGATAGCATTAGATTGAGCAGCCTACTTCTTACCTTTGTAGTCAGCAAAGCCACCTTAATAAGTTAAAAAAGGAAGCGAAATCAGAGAAATATTAGGGGAAAAATGATGGGGCCTATGAGCGGAAAATAGGTTTCTGTCGATAAACAAAAAGCACTCACAAAAATGGAGAATTCATTTTTTTTCACATTATTACCCTAAATTAATTTTATGATTATTTTTAATTCGAAATTCCTGGCTCTTTTCATTTGGAATTGTTCACAAGTTGTTAATTGTTCTGAATCATAATTTTTACGAATAATTTTTTAATTACTGTTTATTTTTCTGTTATTTCTTGAAATTTCATAAGTATTATTTCTTAATAGTTATAAGAATAAATTCTTGGAGGGTAGGATGACTTAGTGAGTTGTTGCTCAATTCAGAGCGCCGATGCTGAGGTTCTATTCCCCGGAAAACTCCAAAAATCTGGATAATGCTTCACCTGTATTTCTATCGTCGAGGGACTCTCTGAAGGGACTCATATTTGTCCAATGCGACAAGCCAGCGGAGCGAGTTTAAAAAATATTGGCAAAAATTTTTTTAAAAAAAAAAGGATACATTTATATTATTGAGCTCGATTTTTTGCAATTTGTTTCCTAAATGTATCTGAACTGAACATTTTGGCTTTTGCTATTTAGTGCATTTATTGCATTTTTTAAAATTAGATTATATATTGTGCCAAATTCATTTGCACTCTTTTCATCAAATTCTATCAAAAATTTCATATTTATTCAATTTATTTAATTTGATTTTTTTTAAAATTCTTTTTTGCAAATATATATCTCATTAAAAGCTTTATGATTTACGATAAGAAGAAGCAAAATCTTTCCTGAGGCATAATTTTGCCAATAACTATTCAAATTGCAGAAAAAATTATTTTCGAGAATCAGTCGCATTTGAATGTAAAGAATATCCAATATCCATTATTGATAATCAAAATCACTCTACAGAGATGAATTTTAAATAAACTGTAAAATATTCATTGAAAATAATTTATTGCCATAATTAAGTAAATTATATAAATCGAGTATTGTAGAATCGAGATCGAGTATTTACGTAGATTTTCATGTGCTCCTTACGAATCGCCATGGACTTCGTAGCATACATAGAGACCATTTTCAGTAAGCAACCATTATGGTGAACCAACCATATGATTCTCTGAAGTTTAATGCCATCTATCAAATTTCATTTAATGTTCTTCAATAGTTTTTTAAAATAAATTTATAAATAGCAATAATGCGATATAACCGTTGAATTTTTTTTTTTTTTTAATATTCCTCACCATTACTGGTTAAACTCGCTCCAATGGCTTGTTGCATTAGGCAATATGCCAGGGAGTCCCTTGGTGATAGACATACAGGTGAGTCGCCAGTATCACCCGGATTTTTGTACAGGTTTACTATTGCGGGGAATCGAACCTCAGCATCGGCACTAGCAATCGAGCAACAACCTATTAAGCAAATCTATCTATTTAAATCTATCAATAGCGTTAAATAATAAAAAAAATTCTGAATTTTTTTAGTTTAATCTAATTTTTTATTATTTATTCAGCGAAGAGTTATTTAAAGCAATTTGTAGGGGGTTAATCATCAGCATTACGCTTATTTCAATTCACTCGTAACGTGAGTGGGAAAACGAGTGAAAAAGCAAAAATAGAAATTTCGCTATCACTAACAAAATATTAATCATTGATAATTTCAGCTGGACGAATTCAGTTGACTGACCATACTTCAATTTTCATTCGACGAAATTTCCTTCGTACATAGCAATTAATAACAATAATAGCTCTAAAATATTTTCACTTGAAGAGCGCTTTCTTATTTACTTACTTCTTTAAAAATTCTGTGAATGATTATTGCAGGAATGCGACTAAAAAATTTATAAGTCTTTCAAATTTTCTTTCGACAAAAAGCAGATAAAGAAATATGGAAAGAAGCATTTAAAAAACTATCAATTTAAAAAACTTTTATATAAACGAGTAAAACAGGAAATTTTATCGACTTTAGTACTTTAAAGAATCGAAATATTAATTTAAAACAAAATTTAAGATAAATATTAATATTAATATAATAATATTTATTTTAAATTGATAAAAATTGATAAAAATTCTTTGAATTGGCTGGTTAAATTCTTTGAATTGGCTTGGCTGGCTGGCTGGTTTAGCACAAAATATCCAATATCGTTTTCACTGCACAACTAAATCGACTTCATTCAATTCAGCACTAATGAGTCGTCTTTTGAGAGAATTTTAGAGAGAATTAATTGTTTAGTGAATGAGGTAATTGAATGAGGTAATCTTAATATACTGAGAAATGTTGTAAATCAAAAATTTTGCACTGAATTATTTCGATAATAATAAAAATAACTGGAAAAAAGTATATGGAAAAAAGTCGGATTTTCACCGGTCAATTTATATTGTAATTTCAAAAGTAATAGCAATAGTGAATCCACAAAATGACTGGAAAACAATTTGAAGATATACTGCAATTTCAGCAAATGAATATTTATTTATTTATTGAAAACCAGCCAAGCAGGAGGTGCAGACGCCATGTGTTTGCATTATTAACAACGGTTAAAATAACAAATAGTAAGAATTAATGACAAAAACGAAAAAAAATAATAAAAATAAGATTAACAATTTAAAGATGAAAGAAAGAGGAAATTACAAAATAATAAAATACAATATAATCGAAATAACTATAATCGGATGGTAAAAATCGAGATTTCACACTTCCTGCATGACCTGAACTTTTTAAATGATATCACAAATGGTATTGTCTATTCTTTTTTTAAAGATAGCTAGAGATGGCGCACAAGCTGTATCGTTCGGTAGTTTTCCAGTAATTAATATTAAAAAATTAATAATAAAGAAATCATGAGTCCTTAGTTTAGTTTTACACATAAGTTTTAGTAATTTTAACCCATTAGTTCTTGTTGGATTTAAATTTAACCTAAAATTATAATATTTTGAATTTACAAACTAATTTAACATAACCATACAAAATCTTAATTGATTAATTGAATGTTGATTAATGAAAGGAATTCTTGTAAGATGCGGAATGTGAATTACCGTTTCAGTTATCCTACATACCAGATCATATGTACGGCGAAGTGGTTTTAGAGAGAGATTATGTCTTGCATTAATAGTTTATAAAACTTATCAGTGCATGATAACTATTTATATTCATATAAATATTCATCCCCTATTCTTCTTCATGTATTTGATCGACTACAACGAATTGTCAAATAAAATATTGGCATCTATAATATCACTTTACTAAAAAGGATAAATTAACCAATAATTAAAATTTTTTCATTTTTCGAAAATTTTTGGTTTTCATTTGCAATATTTAACCGAAACTGACGACTGAAGACCACAAATGGAACCGAAAGAAAGAAATCTCGGCGCAACTCTACTAGTTATGCTACGCATTTCATTCTAATTTTATAATTAATAAAAGATAGCATTTGATCGACTAAAGGAAAAAATAAGACTGCTGAGAGATTATTTAGATCAAAAAGTTGAGGAAAAAGCGAGAATCGGTTCCTTATTTCTGATCAGATTTTTATAAAATTCGATTCTATTATGAATGTTGCTAAATCTGCTTCCACTTCTATTCTTTCTTTGGCAAAAAATTTTAATCCTATATTTTCAATAAATAGAATTATTTTCAGGATTATTAATATTATTATTTATTTATTTATTTATTTAGTGAAGGAAAAAAATTAAGAATTTCATTATTAACGTTCTATCAATAATAATATTCAAAAAATTTTGCGAACTTTTTAATATTTATTAATTAATATTAATTAATTAATCAATTTTGTTCAAGAAGAAAGAAATACGATTTTGCGCATCGAAAAACGATGATTAGGAAAGGAAATGATTATTTTTGTATAGAAAAAAGTTTACGAGAATATTAAAAAATATATTCTAAAAAAAACACATTTGATAGAGACAATGAACGAAGAACTTCCGGAGACAATGAACTTCCGGATTTCAAATAGAAAGGTTTTTGTCAATTTATCAATGGTTTTATCAATTTATCAAAATTTGTCAAATTTATCAATAGTTTTAATATTATATCAGCAGAATTTATTTAAATGAATAAGGTAATAGCGATTATTTATAATTTAGAGGTGGATAAACTCAATTTGATTTGTAAATTGCGTATATAAGCGCTAAGCTACTCATGCATTTATGCATTGTCGGAAAATGTTCAGTCTATTAATCGTGTGCTATTTTCTACGAGTAACTGAATCAGGTCTCTCATTAGATATTGCGGACTGCAGAGGTTCACCCGTGGCACCATTCAGACCTGTGCCACCTCCATCTGCTTGCAAAAACAAGGATGAAGCTATATGCGTTGCAGTTTTCAATCCTTTAGGCAGTGATGCCGCAACTAACGCAAATCCGTAAGTGAATACGTGATTTAATGGTTCATGTTTTTTCACATATTTATTATTCTATTAATTATTGTAATTATTATAAATTATTATAAATTTTAGAGCAATGACGTATAAGGTTAATGCAAATTGTCTAAATGCCACACTGAAGGCAAATGCTCTTGCGTTGTGCCCATCGTCTTGTGCACTTTGCTGTATGGCTCCTGAATTCAGTTGCAGCAACGGTACAAATCTTTAAAATAATTTTTAAAAACAATACTTGTATAGTATATAGCGTAAAAACTTTTATCGCTCTAAAATGGAAGAATTTTAGCCGCTGGTGCTGATTGCACACCTTTCACTGTCNAAACAAGGATGAAGCTATATGCGTTGCAGTTTTCAATCCTTTAGGCAGTGATGCCGCAACCAACGCAAATCCGTAAGTGAATACGTGATTTAATGGTTTATGTTTTTTCACCATATTTATTATTCTATTAATTATTGTAAAATTATTATAAATTATTATAAATTTTAGAGCAATGACGTATAAGGTTAATGCAAATTGTCTAAATGCCACACTGAAGGCAAATGCTCTTGCGTTGTGCCCATCGTCTTGTGCACTTTGCTGTATGGCTCCTGAATTCAGTTGCAGCAACGGTACAAATCTTTAAAATAATTTTTAATAATAATACTTGTATAGTATATAGCGTAAAAACTTTTATCGCTCTAAAATGGAAGAATTTTAGCCGCTGGTGCTGATTGCACACCTTTCACTGTCAGTCCGGATCTGTGCACTAATGCACTTACTGCAGCAGCAGCATTAGCAAACTGTCCTAATGCCTGTGGCTTATGTAATCAGCCTGGTGCCGGTGGTCGTTGCCCAGACGCTGTTACAAATTGTGCAGCGCTATTGCCTCTTTTAACGTGCACAAATGCATATATGCAACAGAATTGCATGGAAACATGCAGGATCACAACTTGTTTATGTGAGTTGTTAATTTTATAGAAGTGGTAATTCAAATGGGTTCTAAACATTCGTTAACTTTTGAAATTTAGCCACAACAGGAGGTGCGTCATCATGTAGTGACGGCCGAGCCAACTGTGCACAAATGGCTTCGTTCTGCAATGTGGCACCATATTCCGGAGTTATGAGAGAACAATGCAGAAAAACATGTGGCATATGTCGTTGAAACTATCGTTAATCGTTCGTGATTAACGAGGATGTTTTTGGGATTTTCATAGAAAAACCTATTTCGATTATGCAATTTAATACATTGGTATTCAACCATAAAATCAAATTTTTCTTGCTTTAATTTGATTATTTACAATAATATTTTTTATTTTTCTTTGGTTTTGCCAAAATCCATTTTTCAATTTTATTATAAGAATTATAAAATATTTGTTTTATTCCATTTGATTATCCATTGGTGTTTTGGTAATTTTTTAATTTTAATTTTTCTTTTTTCTATTAAAATTTTAATATATATTTTTAATTTTTGCATAATTAAATGTTAATGGTAACGAATCATAAAATATCATTAAAAAATTGGCGATTTTCCATAAATTGATAATAAGTTTGATACTTTATTTCATACCTAAAGTATCCAGAAAATATAGAGAAAATATGGAGATTGTCATTTTCAAAAATTAAAAATTTATTGACTGTAAACAAGAGAGCACCAGGGAATAATAATAGCAACGACAAGAGAAAATCGTATATTTATAGATTGTCTTACTTTATTCCATAATGAAATTATATTATAGAATTTTCTGGAGAAGAATCTTTTAAAACTTAAAATAGTTTTTCCTCTTTCAAGAATTGGAAAATCTAAAAATCCATTTATTTGAATTCTATTTAGCGATTCATATCATAATAAAATAAAACCAGCCACATGTTTGCATTGGCATTTCTATTTGGGAAGAGCTAAGATCTCTTCTGCAATACGAGGCAGATGATTTTGTTTTTTCTTGCACTCGACAAAATAAGAAGATATCTTTGCAATAGTATTGACATTTGGTTACCACCGTTGTTTCGTTTTAGCTGTGGTAACATGGAGTAAGGATTTCTTTGTATGCGAAACGATTTCAAAGTCTAAAATGGGAAACCAATAAAGAAGAATCTTGTGTATTTGAGTTAAATGAAGTAAAGAAGAAATTCATAGGAATAAATGCCGAAAAATGAGTGCGAACGGGTCCGTCTCTTGACTTTTTCGTAGAAGAAAGAAAAAATAAAATCAATGGGCAATGAGGAAAGATTGAAAAATACTGTCACCAAAAGAAAAAAAATCTAAAAATTTTATGATTCTTATACGTTTAAACAGCACTTTGTTTCTTTTGTTTCTTCAGTTTTTGTTTAGTACCACGCGATATATGTGCCTATAATAGTTGTTTCTTTTGTTTCATTTTGTTTCTTTAGTTTCTAACAGAGAAAGGTGAAAGTGGAAATACGAACGAAAATATAAGCCTTGTAGAAGGATTGAAATAGCTCCTCATCGGTCATGTTCTAAAAATGGTATCGAAAGATATGAAGATTATAATCAACAAAGAATGAAATTTTATTAAATATATTATAGTTTTTAGTTTTAATTTTATATTCTTAATTGTGTAAATATGTAATTTAGTATAATATTATATTATTTTATATTTATAAATTAAAATTATATTTATAAAATATATTATAGTTTTAATAATTATAATAATTATTCTTTGAATCCTTAAATTTAATGCATGAATATTACAATTTTTTAGCCATTTCAGTGGATCAGTGCTCATAATACTCCTCCGTCTTAAGAATCGCATTTTGATAACGATAAGCTTATTGCTGAAAATTCAGCTGATCTCATTGGTAGCCCATTTTTAACGCCAAGTAATTCACTAATATTTCTCATTTCACTCATCAATTCGAGCAGAAAATGACCAGAAATAGTGGAGACGAAATGGTTCAATAGATTATTGCTCGATTGGTAGTGCCGACGCTGTGGTTCGATTCCCCGCAAAAGTAAACCTGTACAAAAATCCGGGTGATGCTAGCAACTTATCTAACTTATTTCTATCGCCAAGAGACTCTTCGGCTTATTGTCCAATGCCAGAGGAGCGAGTTTAATCAGCAATGATGAGCACTCTCTCACTATATTTAACACGAAATAGCAAACGTAAGCTATTAAATAATTTTATATATTTATATTTATATTTATATATTTTATGCTTTCATTTTCTTTCAATCCGCAATATTATTTTGAAACTTCTTCAAAGAAATTAAGTAGAAAACGACCGAACAATAAAGTTAAATTAAATTAATTGTAAATGATTTTTTATCAATGATAATTGCATCAAACGAAAATTATTTCCTCCCAATATTTTCAAAAGTTTTTTCTTTCATCGAATTTTTTTATATTCGAATTATTGCGGTGTTTTGTACCAGAATAATTGGTCATTTGAAAAAAATTTTCAGAATTTCAGGTAAAATCTTGTGGAACAATAGAGTTAGACGAGTGACATGCAAAACAGTGGAGAGAAATTTTTCAGTGTGGCATTTCCCAAAATTTTTCGGCTAATAATTTATGCAATTGTTAATTAAAAGACAACTAACCAATCTAAATGGAATTGTATTTATCATAGGAAAACAAGAGAAATATTAGAGGAATAACTATGAAACCTATGAACGGAAAGAAATTTACAGTATTTATACTATATACAGTATTTATACTATACTGAAATTCTCTATCGATAAATACTAAGGAGTGAAGCTAATGGAGAATCTGCTAGTTTAACTAAGTAATGATTATCCTATTCTTATCATTTTACATTATCTTTACTGATCATTATTTTTAATTCGATACTGTTGATTATTTTTGCTCAAAACGAATAACGAATTCTTATTTATGATTTATTAAAATTTTTAAGGAAGATTTTTTTTTATATTTATGTAATTATTTTGCATTTTTCTTCGGCTTTTTAAATTTTTACACAAACAATAATCATTTGCGTTAACTACTGATACAATTAGTGATAATGAATAATTTATCTTGAATAGAATTTTTATTTTAATTTTTTATTATTTTAAAGCATTGAACCGTAGACAAAAACGATTGCATGCAATTTTACTTTTGTCTTTTGGAATTCTTTTTTATCAATTTTCTTCATTCGATTATTTGTATGCATTTTTGTTGACTTTTTAAAAATTTATTATAATATTTGTTTTAAACATCACATATAGTAAGAATAATTAAAAATTCTTCCGTTAATTATTAATTTTTTTCAATCAATTTATCAAAAATGATTATGCAAATAAAACAATAATCATTTGCGTTAACTATTGATAACAATTAGTGGAAATGAATAATTTAGAATTTTTAGAATAGAATTTTATCATGTAATTCCAATTTGTGGGCTCGCACGCTTCCCTCTTAAGAATCTCCTTGGATCACATAGCGTTCATAGGGGCCAGTTTGAAGCCAATATAATCATCGGCCTCTCACATTCCTCTGCCAATGTTAATTTTTATTTATGCGGAATTTTCTTGAAATTTTATGTATTTGCTTTTCTTTCCCAGATATTTCGTTCTATTTGATTTTAAATCATTTTCATTATTAAATATATTTTGAGCGTTTTTTTCTTTTTTTTGCCATTTATTACGAATAATTTTAAATTAGTAACAATATTAATAAATTATAATCGTAATAATAATTTTAGCGACTACAAAGTATAGTGACCGAAAAATGAAAATCATTTTTGCTCCAAGAATAAATAATATTTTTGTTCCAGGAATAAATAATATATTTGCTTACTGACATATGATAGTTAATCGTTATAATTTACTATATCAACTATAAAATATACTAACAATAATACGATAGATGAAATAATTACATTAAAAATTCTGATTTTTTTTGAAATCTAATTTTAGTTTTTATTATTTATTCAGCGAGGAGCTGTCTAAAACAAATTAATAATATCGCCAGCACCACTCGTATTTTGATTTACTCATTTCGTGAAGCAAAAATGAATATTTTAAAATGAATATTTATAGAAATATGATAAGCCATTGAAAAATCATTCTGGAGCCTAATTTAATTAAGCTTATAATTAAGAGATGAAATAATCGAATGGTTATTGGATCCGCTAGAATTATTAAAAAATAGGGGCAATACTGATAAACATCAGAACCGATATAAGTCCGAGGAATTAATTAGATCATCCGAAAATTCAATATAAATAAATTCATCGCTATTATCGCGACAAAATGCCTTTCGAAATAGTCATTGAAAAAATGTTCAACTGGACAACCTCGACTTAAATTTCAACCTATCTTACCTTATTTCATTCGCAGAATTTTGCTTACCCTACACTAATTTAGAAATAGCTCGAAAATTTTTTTGTCAATGAATTTAAGAATATTTTCAAGCGTTGAGAAATTTTATAAATAATTATTAATTGCTGAATAGACTGAATTCTCTCGATTAATAATTAGCTCAATTGCTGCTAGTTTACCACGACGACCACTTTCTTTTTTTCAGGAAAATATTCATAAAATCTCATGTTGCAGTCATTTTTCGCTTTTTTAAGACCAAAGTATGCCTTCACTACCAATTTTTCAATGGATCTTCGAAAGTAAAACTATGAAATAATCTTCATTTAATTCCACGGCAGCGTGTTGAAAGAATTTCATAATCACTTGAGGTGATTTCACGATCCATTGAGAAATGGGTTGCAGATTCCACTGAATTAGCAGCTGGAAAAAAGTATTTGGCAATCGAATTTTCAGCATGCATTTATATCTTTAAAAATATCGAAATAAGTAAATTAAGATCATTCGTCAAAAAACTGGAAAGCATCTGATATTTTGAATTTCCAGCAAGCGATTAACAGAAAAAATCTATGCAAAATACAAAATATTCCCCCTTAATAAATAATTCCTAAATGAGGTGCAGCAAAAAAAGTTGTGGAGATCGTACGTTGCCGGGTTCTTTACAGATAATCACAGATGATATGCATTTAATACTATTTATTTAAAGAAAAGGCTTTATAAAATCCATAAGTACAGAAAAAGGTTAATCATTTAGACCTCTAACCATTCAAATTTTTGATCTTCTTCTTATGATATGATATTATGATATTTGATCAATTGTTGCGTTCTTATAAATAAAATATAAAAAAATAATAATATAAAAAATATAATAAAAAATAATAAAAATATCATAAAATACTTTAAATGGGGTAAATTTATTTAAAAATGGATATCATTTGATCTACTGAAAGGAGAGAAAAGAAATCGAGTTATTTCGACCATAAAAAGTTGAGAGGGAAGAATTTAGCCCTTGGTGTTGACAGGTTTTGTTATGGAAATCGATTCTATACAAGTAATGCTGGTAACTCTACTCCGCTGTTTTTTATTTCCAAATAATTCCTTGGTAATAATTTTTCTATCTTTTACCAGTCAATGCAGTTTGAATATCCAGAAATAGTGAATGGCAATAACTACTTACTACTTACTCAATGATGGAAAGAGAATACGAAATGTGCTAATAACATTCTATCAATAATGTAACTATTCAAATCATAACCAGCAAAGAAGAATTTAAAATAAGGATATAAAGAATAAATTGTTTTATTTTGTTAATTTTGAGCGATATATTATTTGCCGCGAATTTCCAAACGGTTACCTCTCTATGATGGATCAAATCGCTATGAGAAATGAAATGTGCTAATGGTTCCAAATTTTTAAACGACATTTAATCCTAAATAATCCATTTTACTGCAATAATTAATTATTCAAAAGGAAAAATAATAGGACTTTACGAATCGAAAATCATTTGAAGAATAAATGAATATTTTCATATTCAAAATGGTTTGCGTAATTACTAAAAATAATATTTCAAAAAAAGATGCGTTTGACAGAAATAATTTTATGGCAAAAATTTAAGATCTATTTTAGAACGAGTAGGATGGTTTTTGTTTGAAAATTATGAATAGCTTAAATATAATGTCAACAGAAATTATTCACAGTAATACAATCATTGAATAGCGTAATAATGGTTATTTATAATTTGGAGGTGGATAAACCTATCTATTTTCAGTTTAGACAATAGATTAAAAATAAGGCAATATATATATATATATATAAGCAGTGGGTTCCCCATGTCTTAAACCACTGTGGAAAAATGTTCGGTCTGCTATTCGTCTGCTATCTTATACGTGTAGCTGAATCAGGAGCTCTCTCAGCAGATATCACGCAGTGCAGAGGTTCAGCCGCAGCACCATTCAGACCTGTGCCACCTCCATCTGCTTGTAAAAACAAGGATGAAGCTTTATGCATTGCAGTTTTCAATCCTTTGGGCAGTGATGCAGCAAATAATGCAAATCCGTAAGTGAATACGTGATTTAGAGGTTCATGCTTTTTCACCATATTTATTATTCTATTAATTATTGTAAAATTATTATAAATTTTAGAGCAATGACGTATAAGGTTAATGCAAATTGTCTAAATGCTACACTGAGTGCAAATGCTCTCGCGCTGTGCCCATCGTCTTGTGCACTATGCTGTATGGCTCCTGAATTCAGTTGCAGCAACGGTATAAATAATAAGTATAATAAATTATTCAAAAGGAAAAATCACTAAAATTATAATAAATCACTAAAATAATAAGATATTTATATAGTATATAGCGTGCAAATACTTTTATTACTCAAAAATGAGAAAAATTTCAGCTGCTGGTGCTGATTGCACACCTTTCACTGTCAGTCCGGATCTGTGCACAAATTCGCAAACTGCTGCAGCAGCATTAGCAAACTGTCCTAATGCCTGTGGCTTATGTAATCAGCCTGGTGCCGGTGGTCGTTGCCCAGACGCTGTTACAAATTGTGCAACGCTATTGCCTCTTTTAACGTGCACAAATGCATATATGCAACAGAATTGCATGGAAACATGCAAGATCACAACTTGTTTATGTGAGTTGTTAATTTTATAGAAGTGGTAATTCAACTGGGTTCTAAGCATTCGTTAATTTTCGAAATTTAGCCACAACAGGAGGTGCGTCATCATGTAGTGACGGCCGAGCCAACTGTGCGCAAATGGCTTCGTTCTGCAATGTGGCACCATATTCCGGAGTTATGAGAGAACAATGCAGAAGAACATGTGGTATATGTCGTTGAAGTATCGTTAATCGTTCGTGATTAACGAGGATGTTTTTGGGATTTTCTTAGGAAAATTTATCTTGGGATATACAATATACATTGATATAATGATAAATTTTATAAATTCAAATTTTTCGCGCTTTCATTGCTTTAATTTCATTATTTATTTTGTCAATATTTTCTATTTTCTTCGGTTTTGATCAGCGAAATTCGTTTTTTCATTATAAAATAATTATTTATTTTATTTCATTCGTTTTGTTATTATTTTCTTATTTTTTCTCCTTTCTATTCGATTTTATTTTTTAAATTTTTAAATAAAATTTTGATTCGCAAATTTTTTAGTTATTTTTAGCTACAATTTAAAGAATTAATGATAAATAAGGATTAACAAATATTATCAAAAAATATTAAAATGGCGATTTCCCATGAATTTGGTAACAATTCAATATGCATTAAGTTTAAAAATTTAATGACTAATTTTGTCGTAAAAAATAGGAGTTCATTTTCAAAATTATTTATTAATTATAAGTGTCAGAATATAAGGAAGAGATTAGTGGCAATAGAAAATTTAGATAATAGAAAATTTCATACAAATTCCTTTAGCTTTCTCGCAATGAAACGAGTATAATAGATGAGGAAACATAAAAATATCCATGAAATATCCATAAAAGAATTATTTTTCGTGAAAAATAGAGTTTATCTTATCATTTCTTAGTAAATAGGTAAATACTTAGTTTTTTTCTTATTAATTATTTCATTTTGATCCAATTGATACAGAGATAAAAAATTCTAAACTTTTAAAATTTCTAAAAATTTAGAATTTTAGCGTCGCTTATTCGATCGGAGTATTATTATATGTGCGATTATCAGTTGATTTTGTGAAATAATCAGTGAGATTTTCCGGCTAAAAAATTCGCTTTATTTGTGATATTTATGCCTTAAAAGACAGATTGTACGAAAATCAATTCTGTTTTTTGATGGAAATAAATGGAAATAAATAAATTTATCATTATAAAATAAAAATCCGATTAAAACTCAGAGCTTTCCTGTACTTTTAAATCCAATGCACTATCCCACGAAGGAATCTTTACCATTGCTCATTACCATTGCTAGTAGAGTGGAGATAACCAAAGCAAAAATTATGAGTGCTATTGGAAATTTATGAGTTCCGAGTGCATAATGGCAGAGTTACGGATTGACGATTAAATGTATATTTTAATTTATTCTACAATCATAGCAAATTAGGATTGGTAATTAAGAGAAACAAGAGAAATAATTAATGTAATTATTGGCAATACAGAATCGGATTAATTGAGAAGGTAAAGCAGTGAAGATTTGAGATCCTTGCTGGTGGATGCTTCGAAGAATTATAATAACGATACGATATTATACCATATAAACATATAATGCAGCATAGTGCAATAGAAATCGCTGCTGGAGTGACATTGCTTTAAGAATGCAGATTGTGGCTCGACTAGACGATAATAGGAAACTAATCGTAGGACGATCAATGAAATGATATGGGATATTAATGGTGCGCCTGTTAAAGCTATTAAGGATCGTCTCATAAGCTTGAACGTTCACGTCTAACTTGACCACAATACGCCATCTACTGTCCTGAACATAGCTAATTCATTTATCCAAATGTTTTTAACTATAAGTCGCCAGCAGAACATGAAATGGTCCTACAGAACCGAAAAAACTCCCTAGGAAGATGCTATTTAAATGTTATCAATCGTCCTTCATAAAGCACCTTCAACAAAATTACTCTCTCGTGTGGCAAAAGGAAATAATACCATACTACTGCAGCCATTCTGCTTTCAAATTGCTAAGAACCATGACAGAACGTATTGTTCTTTATCCTATCCTAACTTTTTCTTTATCCTAACTTTTTTGCCGAATTGAAAAGTATCATTACTGATAAAAATGTTGTTTATAACAGGTGTTTCCATATTCTCAAAGATTATAATTTCTTATGATAATATAAATAATTTTTCAATACATTTCTTTTAATTATAATTTCTTTCCTTCAATCATTTATTAAATAAGTAATTAGCGCGTTCATTTTTCCTGGTTACGTAAATTTTATTTTTGACTATTCTTATCAGACAATCATATAGAAGAACTATCGTATCTTATCAATACTGACTGCTTTTGAAGATATATGCCATTTAATGCTGAAAAAGTAATTGACTGCCAATTTATTCCAGCTATTAAATTATTTTTTGAAACATTTTTCAGTGGAAAATGAGATTAATTTATTCACTAAGTAGTGGTACAAAAATAGATGGCAAATTTATGTGAATGCTTAAAAATATAAAAATGATGAAATCAAATAAAATTTCAAATTTAACACTTGTTGAACTTTCGAAGATTTCGCTATTTTCCGCCATTCTTAATAATTATCAACTTTTGGCGGAGTACATTTGAAATTAAAACACGAAAAATTTCATAAAAATCTTATAAATTGCGGCTGAATTATAGTCGGAATCTTTCATAAAATTTCCGATCATTTGAAAATATTTTTCTTAAAGTGATTGAAAAGAGAATATTTCTAGGCTGTGTTAAGAAAATTTTGGGTGAATGAAATCGAGAGTGAGGTAAATCGAGCTAAACATTTCTTTCTATTCATCAAAAGATCATTTGTCGATGGCGGCGAAAATTTCTATCGAGCATTTGAGGTGAATCCGACCACTTGGAATAATATTAGCATCAATGTCAACGATGTGATTACTGATGTGATAACCGATATATCAACAAATTTTCGCAATGATAGGTTCAATCTCGAATCATATTTATTATTTACCATGTTTAAGTATTTATGTATATATTTTCATGATAAAAGGTTAGATGGCTTAAATCAATTTAAATCAAAATAAAAAATGATGCTTGTGACCCATAAATTTGCCACTGATTTTCTCATCAATGAATAGCGACAGAATTTCTTTAGTATCGTTTAGTTAAGATGGTAATAGCTTGGAATAAATTTTCTACAGGAAACTAATAATTACCCACTTAATTCTAATTTAACTTGAGATTTTCCTTACTTACTTACTTGTTTTAATGCCTCTCGAGACTTTCTATATATTATAATTCTTGGCCATAGAAGTATGTATCATATAACTTGTATAACTTATGCTATATACTTGTAAAATATAACTGTTTTTGTATAAAACGCTCTTTTTAATTTATACTATTTTACGATTGTTCCATTCCATTCCATTCCATTAAATATACCGTTATGAGTGAGGTTTTTCATTGTTTCATGAGATGGGTAAATCAAAATAACAGATGGCGCTGATAATGAAACCACTAATTTGCTAGATATAACTCGTTGCTGAACAAATCCATATACAAATATACAAAATCAGATCCTAAAAAAATTTTTGTTTTTTGTAAACTAATTATCTGTTTTATCAGATTTATCTGTTATATCGTATTATTGCTTTTTATAGCAAATTTTTTTTTGCAATTAACCATCATCTGTCGATAAGCAAACATTCATCGTTCCCCGAATAAAAGTGCAAATTTCCTTCATTATGCTTTTTCTTCGTTATAATAATAATTATTATTATTCATTAATATTGTTCTTAATTTAAAATTATATTTAAAATATCCTAAAATTAATGAAATGAAACTAAATTTTGGTGAAAAGAAACAAAAGCACGAAATTTTAAACAAGTTTCATATATGTTAAAATTAATATGTCGAGAACCCTTTTTTGCCAAATTGGTTTCTAAGGGCACTGTGAGTCCATGGTGACTCATGAGTTCGGAGCCAAAATATTCGAATTACTTATTACATTTCAATGAAAACAGATCATTTTTAATGAATATTTTGCTGAAAATGTGAAATATAATATATAATATATAATTTAATACAAAATTCATGGATGGAAAATTTCAACCACTTGGGATTCATGGATATTGCCGCAACATTTAGGTTATCCGTGCTTGACGACCAGTATTGCATGTCATAAGCATTCAAAGGCAATTAAGCTGATTGCAAAATTTTTGAAGATATTTTTTATAATTTTGATCAATAAAGGCAAATATAAATCAAAAATTTCACGAAAATATCGCAGGTGAAACAACAACATTAATATGAAAAAAAAGCATTTGAAGCATTTTCACCACATCAAATTCATTAAAGAATTTTAAGAATGATTTAGTTTTTCGACTATAAACTACAAAGTTTCTAAGATATATATATATATATATATATATATATTTGCAAAAACGAATAATAAGGAAAAATCAAAATAAGCGATTCAAACCTAAGAAATTGAGTGCAATTTTAGGAAGATAAAACGAGGAACTTGTTAGTACCACGGTTCGCCTTTGCATTTTTGCAGTTCAACAAATAGATGGTGCATAATTATGATATCTCAAGTAATTTCGTCGAAAAATTTTATGGAAAAGTGGTGCTTGATTAATCCAAATAAAGCCGATAAAAAAAAGATTTTCGTTTGATTTTTCAAAAATTTTTACTAATTTTTAAAAATTAATAACCAAAATAAATAACCAAAAAAATCAAATAAATAACCAAATGAAAAAATTTTATAAAAAAGAACCATGTAAATTAAAAAACAAAATTATCACACAAGTCTATAATAATTTTTCTTGCATTATTTTTCATCGTTCGCTTTCTCATTTGAAGAAAAATTTTAATATCTTTGCGGTTCAATTGTTTGGGGCGCTTTAAACAATAAAAGGAATTTGTGTTGAAGTATGCGCACAGAATTTTATATATGTATATATATTTATATTGATATATTGATAAAATATATTGATTAACATTAATTGTTATCATTAGCAAGCATAAAAGCAACATGCGACTTAATAGAAATATAAGACAAGAAGGCCTTTAAAAATTAAAAAATAAAAGCAAAAAATAAAACAAAATATAAAAAGTCACTAATAGAAATTATGATTTAGCCAACGGCTTCGAATTTAAATCAATCGCCAGTAAAAATAATGCAAAATTATAAAAACGAATTCTTTCGAATTTTTTCTACAACAGCATTTTATCCACGATATTGAAGAGATAAGGCAAACGAGTTATTTCTATCACAAAGAAGTTCGAAGAATTCGGCTCGTCGATTGTTATACGGTTGTATATGAGTGATGCTGGTAATCCATCTCCTCTTTTAAGCCTTGCGTTTTCCGTGAATAGGACTACGCTAATTCCAGAAATAGTCAGTGCTTGCCTATTTACTGATTGATGGGGAGAGAGTATGGAATCTGCTAACAATATTCCATTAATAAACGTCTAAAAAGTTGTAATATAAAATTTAATATAAAATTTAATCCATTACATCGCAATAATTAATCATATAAATTTTCAAAAAGGAAGAAATACCATTTTTTACGCATCGAAAAACGTTAGTAAAATATGTATTTTTCAATATCCACTTTGTATACAAAAAAAAGAAGTTTACATAAAATTAAAATGAATATTTTAAAAAAAATTATGACAAAGGCAGTAGGCGAAGAATTTTTAAATCTATTTTAGTATGAACTTTTTGTTTGAAAATTATGAATGGCTTGAATATGGCTTCAACAGAATTTTTTCATAGTAATACGATCACTGAATAGCATAATAATGGTTATTTATAACCATTTGAGGTGGACAAATGCTATCTAATGCTACCCTCAATTTATAGATTGCATATATAGGCACTGAGTTCCCCATTTCCTCATGCTTTCAAGCATTATTAGGAAATGTTCGGTCTATTAATCGTTTGCTATCTTTTACATGTAGTTAAATCCGGAGATCTCTCAGTAAATATCGTGGAATGTAGAAATGCTGGGCCAATGTTCAGACCAAAAGATGAAACTCTGTGCGTTGCAGTTTTCAATCCTTTGGGAAGCGATGCAGCAAATAATGCAAATCCGTAAGTGAATGTTTAGTGACTTATTCGAGTTTCTAATCGCACCTATTGCCTCGTTATATTGTCTCAGTTAAAATGATTTTAGAGCAATGACGTACAAGGTTAATGCAAATTGTGAAAATGCTACACTAAAAGCAAATGCTCTCGCGCTGTGCCCATCATCTTGTGCACTGTGCTGTATGACTCCTGAATTCAGTTGCAGTAACGGTACAAATCTCTAAAATAATATTTTTATAGTATATAGCGTGCAAAAACTTTTATTACTCTAGAATGGGAAGAGTTTCAACTGCTGGTGCTGATTGCACACCTTTCACTATCAGTCAGGATCTGTGCACAAATTCACAAACTGCTGCAGCAGCATTAGCAAACTGTCCTAAAGCCTGCGGTTTATGTAATAGACCTGGTGCCGGTGGTCGTTGCCCAAACGCTGTTACAAATTGTGCAACGCTATTGCCGCTTTAACATGCACAAATGCATACATGCAACAGAATTGCATGGAGACATGCAGGATCACAACTTGTTTATGTGAGTTGTTAATTTTATAGAAGTGGCAATTCAACTGGGTTCTAAGGATTCGTTAACTTTTGAAATTTAGCCACAACAGGAGGTGCGTCATCATCATGTAGTGACGGCCGAGCCAACTGTGCGCAAATGGCTTCGTTCTGTAATGTACCACCATATTCCGAAGTGATGAAAGAACAATGCAGAAGAACATGTAACATATGCCGTTGAAAGTATCGTTAATCGATCGTGACTAACGAGGATTTTTTTGGGATTTTCATGGGAAAATTTATCATGGGATTGGAATTGTAAATTTATCATGGGATTGGAATTACAATTGAACGCGTTGTTACAATGATAAATCCAAATTTTTCTCTTTTTTATTCTTAAATTAGATAATTTAATAAATTAAAAAATTAATTATTTAATTAATCACGACAATATGCTCTCAGCGCTCAGTAATTTTTCTCGCATGAGAATAATTATTAAAAAATTGTCTATTCCATTTGAAAAAAAAATTTTGATAATTTTAAATTTATATAAAAAATTATAGTAAACACTGCAAAACTATTTATAAGACAGTGAGAAGGAATTACTTATTCAGCATTTCACAAACTCTTTTTGTAAAACATTACTTTATATATTGTTTTGTTAAATTATACATTAATTACGAATATGTATAACGGATTATAGATTCCTTAAATTTTTGTGAATATTATTAGCATTTCACAGAAAATAGCTTAGGAAATATTGCTTTAACATTCGAAACAGTTCATCGCAAAAAAATGCGAATGAGATCAAATGCGTCAATAAAATAGAAGAAAAAAATGGTTTGTGAATAACCACATTAAAAAATGTATATTATTGAATATAATGAATTTAATTTTAAAAGATGAATTAAAATAAAAATAAAAGTTGGCAGCTTTAATATTACTATCATTTCGAATAGCCGAAATGCTGATTAATTCACTATGCAAAAAAAGGAATTATATTCTCTTACTGCTGGAAATGATAACGTCTAATGATCAGACCGTTTTATGAATGGGCCCATGGTCTGCATAAAATTTACAAATTATAGAAATAAGCATGTGCATGAAACTTATAATTTGTAGAAACCTATCTCCAAAATTTTGAAACAATCTTAAACCGACTAATTTGGATAAAAAAGCACGTTTTTATTCTTGATTAATCTATCTAATATAAAGAGTGGCTCCTCTGGATCGAATTATCTTAACGACCACTCTAATAACACATGGAGCGAAGGATTTTAGATTAAATCAGAAAACAGGCAAACGGATAAACATTTGGATAAGTCTGTTAAACGAGATAGGAAGGCCGGCTGATGGTACCAAATGAAAATTTTCCAGTGGAATTTTCACGAAAGGGTTTATTAAATATTAGATAAGCAAATTTGTGAAATGAATGTTATACTTGTTCCTTGAAGTATGTGGTGAAAAATCTTCGATTGTAGAATTAAATCAGTCATCCTCGCCAATAGTTCGAAAAGAATTCCATGATTTCATTACATTTTTCTGGCCTGGCTACAACAACCTTGCCCCAGTAATTTTATTAATTTTAGAATTATTTTTTCTCTGTTCTTGTCATGAAAGGCACTGTTTATCTTAAACTACTATTTTAAATTTGTGACCTCGACCGGCCAGAGAAATAGTTTTATTAGTTCATAATTAATTAGTTTTTTTTATAATTATTTAGTTTGATAATGGGAT